ACACATGGAGTTTACGTTGCCAATTTTTACTAAATTCAGGATGAATGTGACAGTATGCGAGGAAATGTTTGTTGGGGTCTAGAGATTATTTTCTATCTCCCAGCACCATCTGGCATTACAGTGGAAACTCTGAATGAATAAACATTGCTTATCATTCTGTCAGTCACTCATCCATCGGATAGAAGCTGAAACGCTAATGTACTAGCATCATCATCTTTGTCATTTGGCAATCAGGGACTACTTCACGGTAATGAGACAAAGACCACAGATTAAGGTCCATAGCAGAAATGGGCAACAGAGATTTTGCAAGTTTAATGCATTATTCAGTTTGACAGAACAGAACTTGATGGGTTTGTGGTTTCTATTTTTTAAGTGTCTTTTTTTTTTTTTTTTTTTTTGCACACAGGTGCTGGATTTGTCAGTTAAATTGTGAGCTCTTCTTGTTGTTAATAGAAGAAGTGAGGTGTCAACAAAAAATGGAATGCTGGAGAGAACTGCATGCTAAATTCATTTCTAGTAATGGATATACAGGTAGTGTTTGCTTATTATTGAGGCAACAGAAGTAGGATGATCAGTTCAAACATCTTGAGGCAATTCTGTCAGTTCCCTCCTCAGAGCACAGAGCTGCCTCCAGATTCTCCAGCTCTGCTTCCCTTGTCACAGCAGCAATCACTACAACTCAAGCGGTGAGCACTCCTGGATAACAGGCAGATCCAGAATTCTTGATTAAAATGACACTTCTTCTTAAAACTCATCTTACCAGCAAGATTTCTTCTGGTTTGTAGGGCCTACATGAAGGAGGCATTTTGAAGAAAAATGTCACTTTGATACAAAATCTCTGCAGGAGTACACACGTGCCACTGGGCTTCCTATTTGAATTGGCTGGTAACAGCAAGTAAAAGCACAGTAAAGTTTACTTTTCTATAATGCCTCAAAACTTCACACTGTTCAGGTGATGATATATTCAAGTGAGGAGACTTTTAGAAGGGACAGGTAAATGACAGGATAAAAGAATAAAAAGCCTAATGGTAAAAGTAGTTCACTTTTTAAAGGACTGCAAGTGTAGTGATAAGATTCTCTAGCAGCCTTTTGTATTCTGCTTTTCTTTTGGTACAGACAGAAGAGTTCAATATAGTATTTTCCCTTTTCCCTTTAATTGTTTTTAAAATGATGCTGTTGGTTATATTGTCCATGAGGACACACCAGTGTCCTTCCGTTCTGATACCTGGAACTGAACAGACCCTCTGGTGCTGACTTTGTGGGTGCACGTGGCTTGTTAGCACTGATATCACAACCCTTTCCTTAGCCAGTTCTGTTCCTTGATGTTGAAAAAAAAAAAAAAAAAAATCTTTGTGCTTTTGAATATTTTTGGTTTGTCCTCATTGACAGCTGGAACATTTTCTGCAAGGGGCAACTGAACACAATAAGCACTGTCACAGATCTTTTCTTCTGAAAATGTCCTGCTTATCAGGGTATTTTTTGTTTTCTTTTTCTTTTTGTTACTTAAAGTAGTCATAAAATGTCATATTAGTCTTACTTGGACTCTGAAACTCAAATCAGGTTACCAAAGCATTCAAGTCAGAGAACATTTCTGTACCAGAGAGAAAGTAAAGGAAGTGTTTGGTGGGTCAGCTCTGTCCCAGTTTTCAAAGATGATGTAGGACTCCCCTGGAAAGACCTCTTGTGCCTTTTTCAAAAGGACAGTTATAGTCAATCAGAAGGACACAATCAAGATCCCATTTCTGACTTTCTGTGTCTTGTTGATTTTCAGGGCAGTTGCAACATTTTTTAACATAAACTTGTTTAGTGATAATGTTCTGCCCACAGAGGTTTGTCTCTGCATATCAGGACTGATGACTGCATGCATTCATTTGTCTCAAAACCCATCCGATTCATCTTTCTGTTATAATGAAATGTTTTGCTAAGCCATCACTTTTTGTCATAAATATGTTCCCTTGGCTGCATCTTATTGGGGGATTATTTGCTCCACAATCTTTTCATCGCAGAGATGAATATACATTTCGGGACCAGCTTTTGAAATATTGACTTGTTTCAGGAAACTTCTTATAAGCAAGTCTTGGAAGTCAGCACTAAATCAGTTTTGTGTATTTTATTTCCCAAGGAATCAGACCCACTTTGTTTATTATCTACTAAAACCTAACACATAATGTAAAAACAAGACTGAATCAGAAAAGGACATTGTAAAAATACTGAAGCTGTTTTTTCCTGCAATAGGGAAATACATTCATTCCCTTTAATAAAAAAATAAATAATAAAAAAATATAAATAAATAAAATAAAATAAAATAAAAGGAACAATGATACAACATTAAAAAAAAAAAAAAGCAACCTGAAGGCTTCAGATATTTATTTCAAATACATAGCCAAATATCAGCTATTCAGTTCTATTTCCAAAGCTATTTTATCCTGCAGTTACAAAATATCAAAGTATATGATAACATCAGGATATTAAACTAAATATTTAACCACAATATTTAATCAACTGTTATTAACAAATATGGCAGGCCTGAAGTTTCTGACAGTTGTGCCTAGAGAAATGTGAACATCATAATACCAAAGTGAAGCTTACCACCTCCACTCCTCAATAGAAGCAGAGCTGCAGCACATGAAAACCTGACACAATGTTTTACTAATCCCTAGCCCATCCACATCAAATGACACCCACATGTTAGTCCTTTTCTTCTGAGATAAAAGTCCTGTTAATAGCCATTACTCATGCCCTGCTTCCTCTTGGTCCTCCAGCACGTAGCGTGTAACCACTGCTCTGTTTCCACAGCCCTAGTGCACTAAGTAGCATGAAGAAGTACCTGTTTCCCTAAATGTCTTCACTGCAGTACATGTTTCTGAGAATCTTGTCTCTCGTCCGCATCACACAGGAAGGAGGCATTCAGACATTTAAATAATCACCAAGAGTTGGCATAGACACATGGGGGTACCTGAGATCAGGTCTGTCTGGGTATAACCCAGAAAGGGCAGAAGCTTTTCTGGAGTAGCAGCCAGAGGCTAGAAAGCGCCACCTTGGGCCACAGAGACCTGTGCAAGATCCTCCATCACTCCCGTCAAGCCCAGTTCTTGCCAAGTGATACCCACAGATAACTCATGAACAGCAGAAGTTTATTTCTGAAGCTCACCCACTGTTTTCTTTGTTTGTTTTGTTTTGTTAAAGAATTTAGAACTTCCTTTTCTTTCTGACACCTCCAAACTGCAGCTTCCAGCTAGCCAGTTCTACACATCACAGGCTTTGAATAGGGGAAAAGGAAGAAGAAAAAAACTCTGTCTCCTTTAACAGATGCAAATGTACCCATACAGTTTATTTAAACAAATGTGTTCCTCACATACAGAGGTAAAATATTTTGTAATCATTTTATGGGTTTCTCCCACACTGGCATCCCCTACAAAGGAATTTCTGTTCTGTTCAAAGGCAGAAAGTTAACCACTGTGTTACATCTCTTGCAAATTAGCTTCTCATGAGAAATTTGTTCCTGTATCGAATTCAGAGATTTTAGTGCCACAGGCTCTTAAACATATGTGGGTGAGTGTAAAGCGCTAAATCACATCACTGGAAATTGCCATTTGTGTCAATAAAATCCCACGCATCCAAACAGCAGCCCAGCCTAGCTGTACAGTTGGAATCAAGGTCAGATTCCAAACGCACACAAGTATATTATTGTCTGAGATCAGAGATTTTGTCTGAGCTCATCTTTAGGTTAACTGGCAACAGAAAAAGATGGAGTAATCTGCAGACATCAGGTGTTAATATTAGACATAAAAAGCTCAGGTTTTCTTTGAAATGAATGCCAAATGCTCAAATAGAGCAGTTTCATCTTTAAATTCTTTGAAAATAATGCTACTACTGTAAATGGCACACCCAGTTCAAAATTGATTTCTAGATCATCCCACTGATAGTGGATGCATTCAAGATCCTTTAATTAATGTTGTAGAAAACTGCACTTTATTACATCTTAAGCACTTGTATCTACATAAAGTGGCATTATATTGCATACATCGTAATTTAAATCCATTGCCTACATATAAGTGTGTATCAAATTTGCATTGCAAATGTCTTCATCCTCTGCTGGGTTAATCACAAATGTCAGATCTAAATCAATCCAAAATCCAAAATTCTGGCTCACAAACCAAACATTTATTAAACAAAATATGTATTATAGGACACAAATACAATAAAATAACAGGTGAAATTCTTCAGGGTAGTATAAACTGTATCCAAAGTCAGAAGCATAGTTCCATTGAAATGAGCAGTCTGGCCCAATGAGAGCTGCTGTGACACATCTGTGGCACTGTGTGTACCACAAATATGGTAGCATCAGCTGCTATAAGGCAACATCAAAATGTATACTTTAGTACCAGAAAATCAAACAAATGTTCTCTTAAAGGCTTATCTGGAATTAATAAGTGATGATTTGACAGTTCAAGTGATGAGCAGGATACTTTAAGCATGTTTCTGGTGGAAAATTCTCACTAAAAGATGGTTTGCCCTAAGTGTAATGAACATTAGCTAATATATCATGAATATCCATGTTTGATGGCACTGTTTCATTTAGGTTCATCTGAAGTCAAGTTAACAAAAGGCTTATTTAATTAAATGCAGCTTCCCATGTTCTTCAAATTGAACAGTCGAATGAATATACAGAGGCATTGCTCTGCATAACTTGAAAAGTCATTAAACCTGGTTTTCAGATTACCAGTCAAAGACATAGAAAAGGATCAAACTGTCTACATGTGTCATTAAATTATCAATGAAATGGTACTATCTATTACTACTGTGTGAAGAACAAGAAAATTTGTTTTTAAATGGAACTTCTTTGGTCACATCAATATTGTGATACACATGCATTCAAAAGCAGGTTCCAAGTTTTCAGCTGTGGAAAAAAAAAAAAAAAAAAAAAGAATAGCTGCAAATACTGTTGGATTCTGCACATTGGACAGACAAGCATCAGACTGCTTGGCTCATGCTTTAAAGTGAGTCTTGCAAACACACAGCAGTCAGAACAACATTGGGGCTTAGTTTTTGTGAGCATGATGGAAGATGTAGGCAGGAACTCTTGATCCCCCAACGGGCAAGTGGGGATTGCACATTTACATTTGCCTGGCTTGTTTAATTATACTTGACATTACCACAGTGCTTTAAAGTGCACAAAGACAGGTAGTCTGTCCTGAATTTTATAGAAGAGGAGATGCTATCTATAGAGCAGGAGAAGCCATTAAAGATGGAAGGTACTAGGCAACGGGAAGCTAATACATTCATGACAAAAGCTGGTGAAGTGAATAAAAAATTTATTATTCCACGAGATGGATTCTGTGCCCTGCAGAAGAGGTACGAAGGATACATCAAATCTGCAAGCATCTGTGAAACACATAGTCAATCACAAAGATCTCTAACAGGGGAGCATGAACATTTGTGTGCTGATATTGAAAATAAGATCACTGGGGGCTTCTCCAGTCATTCAGCAACTGCTTCCACCATGCTGCCAATCCATGCTTCTCATCACTGTCCTGGGACAGTCCTGACAAAGACTTTACCTTAGAATAAATGCACTGCTCCCCTTGCATGTCACAGGCTTAGGGGAGGGCAAAGGTACTATTGCACAATAGGTGCCCGCCTTCCAGCCCAGCCATACTCTCTTAGTCTTCTGTGAGAGGCTCCTAGCTGCTGCTGTTCCCATGCCAGTTTTCATTCCTATAAAATAGTGAGATTTTTCTTCAGGCTGAGGTCTAACATAATGCCCGTGTAATAACATTTCCTGTAGTCATGTTAGAGATCAGATATGTATGTTAATAGAAAATAGCAAACTAAAAATTTGTTCCTCCGTTACAGACTCACAGTTTAGTTAGGTACTGATTCAATCAGTACATACCAACATGCTAAGCAGAAAGGTCACAGGTAGCAGCTACACATATGCCTGCATGCTTACGGATGGCCCTCCTGCAGAGCCAGGTTTGTGCAATCTGTTGGGAGAAAGTGATGGATACCTGGATTTTGGGGATTTACCAGCCCAGCACCAGAAGCTACAGTACATTGCTCCCGCAGCGATGAGGAGTGCAGCGCTCGCCCAGCCCACATAGAGAGCAGCTCCCAGTTCTCGTTTCAGTGGTGTAGGGACTTTTGGATTATAGAAATCATGAATGATACTGCCACCAGTCCAGGACACAGGGATCAGAACGAGGATGCCCGTCAGGAGAAAGGCAATTCCAGCTACCAGGATGAAGATACTGATGCTCTGGGGATTCTCCTTGGTCCTGCGAGTGTACTTCACACCGACAATGGCCAACAAAAAGGCAATGATTGACAGGAGCACCGCAATGCACATGAGGGCTCTGAACGCCTCTAAGGATGGGGGCAGAGCTAGGATAGATTTGTAGAACTTACACTGCAGCCTGATGCCCATCTGGCTGACGCAGTTCATCCACAGTCCTTCCCAGATAGTCTCAAACACCACGATGTTACTCTCAATGTGGGCAGAAACCCTCCATTGTGGCATAATTGTAGCTGCCAAAGTCCCGACCATGCCCACACCTCCGAATATTAGCCCGGTGATTTGTAATGCACAGCAAGCCATGCTCCTTCTGAAAAAAAAAGGTACCTCAAGCAAGGTGGCCTAGCAAGTCTTCCAAAATCACTCTTTCGTAGAAGAATTATGAAGCCTGAGAGACAATACTTTCTCTGGTAGTTTCCTCATACAGCAAGTTAAGTATTTTTAAGAGCAGCTCTCCCCAGTCGGAGGTTCACACAGGTGGAAATCCATTTCTGACTAGCTAGAGGGAGCTGCTATTTATTTGCTTTGAAATCCCCTCCAACTAGTGCACCTACCCATCAAGCCTAACAAGTTTCCAGCCAATGGGGAACTAGGGAGGGGTTGATTTTACTGCTTTTCATATTGTGTCAGTAGTGATGTTATAATTAAGCAAGTGCCAGGGATTCAATTAAAGGCACCTAATTGCAGGGCTAATCATTTCCTAACAGCAAGATTGCAGCTATGTTGAAATTCAGTGCAGAAAATCTGAACTTCCATCTGCTAAAATATTATATAAAATAGGTCATTACGGTTGTTCTTATGACAAAAGCTAATCTTAGACTTGGTGTGGGGCTTACTTTTTAAGTACTATAACCCTGGGAAAACATCTGATTTTTTTCTATTATTATTTTTTTATTTTAAATCAAGCTGGAAAGTAGTTGGTGTAGCTCTTCAATGTAGATTCCTCGTTTTGATCAAACACGAAAGTATAATCATGATATTAGACAGGTACAGGAAAGTCAAGTATTCCAATCAACATCAAAGCTTTACTCTACCAGCTGCATAATTCACAAGGATGACAAAATAGCTGGCAGGGTTTCACAGCTTCTCCTTCTGAATCCAGGAGTAAGATCACTGTTAAGAAATAATCCTCTATGAGAATCTCTCCCTGTTAGGACAGTATTAGGATAGTGTTGTTACTATGTTCTGTGCTAATAATCTCCAGGTAACAGTTGTACAATTTGAAAAGGGTGAGCTTTTCTTTCAGTATATAATGCACATTGAAAGAAGTCAGAAATCCCTCCCATAAGCATTTATCTTGGCCTGCACAGAGCTACAAGTCTGAACAAAAATTCACACCAAAGATTGATTTGCCTTGGGCAAGTTAGGAATAACTGCTTCATTATGATTTTTTTTTTTTTTTGCTTTCTTCTCCCTACCTGGAGATAATAGTATATGATGACACCTCATAGGTGTTATTAAAATAGAAGTGTTTCTGGTTACCCCAGCTCTTTGAACCAATATGGCTTGTTAAAAAACTTGTTGGCTAAAGACAATGAAGGCCCCTAGAAGTGCTATCCAAGAAAGACATACTCTTAGATTGTTGGTTGTTGTGCTGTGGGCTGTATGTGTTTAGAAATATCAGTCTTTGACTTTGATGGAATTCATTCAGTTACAGCCTTAGGTGTAACGTATTCAAAGCAAACGCTAAAACCCAGGGAAAAGTGAATTGCCCATCTAAAGCATTCACAGCCTGCAAAATCCCCTTCTTCCTATAATCACTAGCTGAAAGGAAAGAGTGCCAGGTAGTGTGAGTTATATAGTGTAACGTTACATGTCCATGTGGAAAATACTCCCAAGGGCTCTGGGTAATTTTTTTTTTGTCTTCAAGTCTGCCAGCATGAATCTGGGCAGGAAAAAAAAAAATGTCCTCAGCTAAGATGTCAAATTTAACCTTTAAAAATCAAATATGTTCTTGGACTTGTTCTTATAGAGATGAATATTGCATCACTCTTCTGCTTACGCAAAAAAAAAAAAATAAAAATAAAAAAAAAATTCTTATGTTGAAGAAAAGATAAGGCATTTTGTTTGACGCCATAAAGATAAAATAGCAGAGATGAAATCCAAAGTCATAGATGGCTACCTGTCCAAAAGAAACTGCTTCATCTGGCAGGAGACTGCTCTCTTAAAAGCAGACTGCCTGCAAGCTAGACCTGTGCTACTTAATTTGAGTCCCATCTCCATTCAGCTTGTAGAACATTTTCACCTCTAAATTATCAAAACTTAATTTTGATTTCTTATTTTAATGTCAAAAAATAAAAACTTTTTTTTTTTTTTTAATAGAAAAGCCTTCTCAAAGCTAGCATTTAAATGTGGTTTGTTTTTTTTTTTTCAACAGAATAACCCTTCATGTAATATTTTCAGGTAGCCAACTCTTGAAGGTATACGCAGCTGGAGAGCTGACCATGCCTAATGCCCTGAATCTGTTTATCTGACTGCCTTATCTAGTAGGATTGCTCTGAAATCATTTTTCCTTACATGACTCTGGGAGGGTCAGCTGTTGAGGTCATGCATAAAATTACACTCTGAGGCAGTCAGGGCACGGTTTGTATAGAAAATAAACTGCTCCCAAAAATGCTATAAAAATGCATCATATGCTAGTTGTGTAAGAATACATCCAGAGAGTGCTAAGCAGTTGAGTGCTTTTTGATCTCTAATTGGCAGTAGTACCTATGGTGAGTGACATCCGGATGTAGGTGTCAAGCAGGAACACCCAGGCTATGATGCTCCCTGTACTGTCCAGCGGCAGAATGGTTCTTGTTATTGAAACCTGAGGGGAAGAAAGCAGGAAAAGATGAATAAATGACAGTTTTGAAACCTGAAGATAAATTTCAGAAATGAAAATGAGCCACAAGAGACAGGCTGGAAAATAAAATCGAAAAACAATACCAGTATCTTGGAAACTCATGAGAAATGGAAAAACTTACCAACCTGTTAAATGCCAAGGAGTCCCTGGACTTGCTGATCACCAGAAGATTTGTATTTTGTGACAAAGCCCTCTGTTTGATTGGCCTGGAGGGAGCTCTTACTCGTGTACCCGAGAGAGCTGTACCTCTATTTAAAGGCTCACCCCATCTCTGAGAAAGAAATTCACTCACAAAACCACTCTGAAAAGCAGACATCTCTCAAAGTAGAATTTAAATACGTGTTTACATGGTGGGTATGACAGACACAATGGCTTTAGTGTCAGATGAGCAGAAATAAAAGGAAAACCCCTTTTCTGCCTGTCTAGACCTCAGAAGTCTCACCATGCTCTGTGTATCATCCGTGAATCTCTTCTGGGTATCATCCTGTCATGCTGTTGGCATGCTTACCTGCCTCAAGATGAGAGCACCAGTTCTTATGCAAACATGTCCACCCCAAGATTTGCCTTCAAAGAAGAAAACAGACAATGGAGGAAGCATGTAGGCTTTACATTTAATCTTCCTCTGGATCTCTGTTTGGATTTACATCTTCTCTTCCCCTCAAATCAGGAAGTTAATTTGAATCTTTTCCTGAGGGAGTACCTTACATTCCCTCCCTAGCTTTTAAAATGATGATGCCACTTGAAAAATAGGAAGCAGAGCATCTCCAGTCCAGAAGATTAACAGGACCTGTCAATGATCCACAGTGCATAATTAATTATAAGCATCAATAATGTAAACATCATTGCCTCCTAGAAACCAAGTTTCATTCCTCTTTGTATATCTTCTCTGTACATTGAATTTTACAGTCCTTATACATACACGAACACCAACACATAGTGTGTATGTGTATATATATCATCACGATTTCATGTCAGGAATAGGTTGGTTATGCAACAGGATAAAGAACTAAATTTAAGGTTCAACAACTTCTTTTTTTTTTTTTGAACAGGCAAATATATCGATTTATCAAAAGCACACTTTAATGATTATTAAGAGTTACAGCTAAGTCTCTTAACCTCCTGGAGGCTTTAACTATCCAGTAAGGCTGCAACGCTGCCTAACCTCAGCTGCAGAGCCTGGCAATGGGGAGTCCACCAAGCAGTGGCTCTATGGTCCCTCTGCATCCTGTCACCTTGTCCAGAGGTGCTGTGTGAAGCCATGCAGACTTCAATCATCCTTTACATGCAAAATCTGCATCAAATGTACAACAGATAAGGTTAGGATCATCTGCAAGTCGTTTGGTTTGGAAACACATGTGAATGGCATCAGTTTTATGGCAGCCTGTTTGTGGCTGCCACTGGGCAATTCACTACGTGCTGGGGTGACCTCTTGGTTTTCAATTCCTTACAAAAGCTAACCACACATTTTAAGTAGTGGTTCCATTGATTTCTATGGTATTTTGATTCACTACTGTATTTCCAACCTACTAGTGAAGCAAAAATTACTTTAATTCTGTTTTAATTTAATGGAGTGAAGCCAACAGAGGACTTTTATAAGTGCTTGCTTTAATAATGCTGCCTGCACGTATGTTAAAAGATGAAGCCACATCTCCTTCCCCCTCTCATCAAGACTGACACGTTTTGGAGAGAGAGGAACATCTGCTCAGTGTAGCCTGGAGAAGGATTTCCTCCAGACACATAGCAGGCACTGTACTTGGGGTATCGACCTCTAACTCTAGCTTTGAGGCAACCCATGTCTGACAGCTGAATCAAAAAGAACGACTTTGGTTTTAGTCATCTTCCTCAGCATGCCTGAAATCCACAGCCTGACAGAACTGCCAAAGGCTTAATGATATTCCATGTCTGAGGAAGCCTGACTCCTGGACACTGTGAATGAACTTGAGTTCTGTATAATAAAACCTCTCAGTAATAAAATATTAAATACTCCTCTGAGTATTTAATCCATCTAAACTGCTTCAGGCTTTACAAGGTATTTGTCACCTCAGTAGTTATGTACAGGGAGCAGCCATCATGATGGAAATAGAACATGCCAGAAAATATGCAATCTTACTCGGCTGCTTAATGACAGGACCTTGAAGCACTCCCCTAGAAAATATTTGGGGAGCATTTGATTGCTTGATTCACATTAGGCTGTTGGAAATATAACAGTGGCAAATTCCCAAGACGGTATTGATTGTTTTCATAAGGAGTAGCAGCAGGGTATACAGTTAGGCTATTACTGGATGAAGCACAGGAGAACTCTTTTATTTAAATGATTTACTGTGATGGAATAGAAGAGGAGGATAAGTTATATTGTGGCAGCAATGGCTTAAAGATAGATGAGAGGCAAAGTTGGTAGAAAGAGGTTGTAGCTTTTATTAGGCTACCTGATACAGTTAGAAACAACCTCTCAGGCTCAGGATCCCAAGAAAGCTTGATTTTGGAGCACAGCATAACAATACAGCCTTGAACTAGCTTTCCAGTAGCCAGGTGGTGCAGCAAACTAAACAAGTCACATACTTCTTAAAACAGGGCTTTTTATTCCATCTTTCTCCATCATAATTTGGGCTCCTGCCTGTCCAGTGTATATAATAGAGTCACCCCATGTATATATAGACCTCTTGTTTTGCCCTCTCAAAAACCCTACCTCCTGAATGTTAATAACCACGTTGGTAAAATAAATAAATAAAT